CTCTGCTGTGTGGCGTGTGTGTGTACTCTGCTGTGTGGCGTGTGTGTGTACCTGTCTCTTATACACATCTAGATGTGTATAAGAGACAGGTACACATGTCACGCCCTGTGTACACATGTCACGTCCTGTGTACACATGTCACGTCCTGTGTACACATGTCACGCCCTGTGTACACATGTCACGTCCTGTGTACACATGTCACGTCCTGTGTACACATGTCACGCCCTGTGTACACATGTCACGCCCTGTGTACACATGTCACGTCCTGTGTACACATGTCACGTCCTGTGTACACATGTCACGTCCTGTGTACACATGTCACGCCCTGTGTACACATGTCCACGCCCTATGTTAACAGTCCACGTCCCCTACAGATCCTGCAGGAGCTATAGACGCCCTATGTACACATGTCCACGCCCTATGTTAACAGTCCACGTCCCCTACAGATCCTGCAGGAGCTGGACTACGGGGCGAGCGTGGACTGGTGGGCGCTGGGTGTCCTCATGTACGAGATGATGGCCGGCCAGCCGCCCTTTGAGGCGGACAACGAGGACGACCTCTTCGAGTCCATCCTGCACGACGATGTCCTCTACCCCGTCTGGCTCAGCAAGGAGGCCGTGTCCATCCTCAAGGGGGTGAGTGGTGGACATGGAGGCCGTGTCCATCCTCAAGGGGGTGAGTGGTGGACATGGAGGCCGTGTCCATCCTCAAGGGGGTGAGTGGTCATCAACGAGTTATATATAGGTATGTATATATAAAATTATAATTATACCTATTATTGAAGTATTCAGCCTTATTTTTATACTCGGTACTTGCGTCCCATTCAAATAGCGGTCTCGCTTATGTGATGTTAACTTCAGCGTCTTGTTTTCCGCCAACTTATATATATAAGTATATATAATATATAATAATAATCTCACATATTGATTTTTGTTTGCTGATTCTCTTATCTTAAAAATATAAATAAAATGAGAAGCCTTACACCTGACACATCACATCATTACACACATCATGTCACGTGACATGATGTAACATTACACCTCACTCCCCACACTCCCCACTCACTCCCCACCCTCTCTCCACTCACACCCCTCTCCCCACCACAGTTCATGACCAAGAACCCGGCCCGCCGCCTGGGGTGCGTGGCGGGGGCGGGGGAGGCCGGGGGGGAGGCCGCCATCCGCGCCCACAAGTTCTTCAAGGACCTCGACTGGGAGGCGCTAGAGGCGCGCCGCCTTAAACCGCCCTTCACGCCTAAAATAGTGAGTACTGCGCCTTTAGAGGCGCTAGAGGCGTGCCGCCTTAAGCCGCCCTTCACGCCTAAAATAGTGAGTACGGCGCCTTTAGTGGTGCCCGCGGCCTTAGTGATGTATTTCGAGTCCTTAATGCCCTTAGTTGTGACGCTACAAGCCGCCCTTTACGCCCAAGATAGTACAGTGCCTTTAGTGGCGCCTTTAGTGCCCTTAGTGGTGTTATATTTAGTGCTCTTTTACAGCACTTCTCTTTAACTTCACTTCTTGTTGTTTTTTTTTTTTTTGTTTGTCTGCTACAAATATTATAATTATTGATATTTAATTTAATTATTATTCAATATTTAATATTATAATTAATAGTTAACACACTTCTACCTGTACAATCGATCTGAAATTTTGCACACTTACATACAGTTGGAGACAATGCAGAATAAATAATTTTGAAAATTTAAATTTTTTAATAAAAAAATTTAAAAATAAGGTTTTTTAATATATGGAAATAAAATTAGAAATTTATTGTACATTTGTAACATCAAAAACACTGTATTCTTTAGAAGTGTTGTCTTTGAAAAGTAATTTTTTAACATTATTATTTAGTGCCCTTTTCAGTACCCCCCTCTACTCTCTATGCAATGTTCCCCTCTAACCCCCCTATATTAACCCTTCTCTATCCCCCCCTCATAATAACCCCTCTCCCTCTCTAACCCCCCTCATAATAACCCCTCTCCCTCTTTAATCCCCCCCTATATTAACCTCTCCATTAAACCCCTCTCTAACCCCCACATTAACCCCTCTCTAACCCCCTATATCCTGTCNGTATTAATGGTCTGTATTAATACATGTATTAATGGTCTGTATTAATACATGTATTAATGGTCTGTATTAATACATGTATTAATGGTCTGTATTAATACATGTATTAATGGTCTGTATTAATACATGCATTACTCTTCTGTATTAATACATGTATTAATGGTCTGTATTAATACGTGTATTAACGGTCTGTATTAATACATGTATCAATGATCTGTATTAATACCTGTCTCTTATACACATCTAGATGTGTATAAGAGACAGGTCTACGTGCGGTCTGGGAAGGTCTACGTGCGGTCTAGGACGGTCTACGTGCGGTCTAGGACGGTCTACGTGCGGTCTGGGACCGGTCTATGTGCGGTCTACGTGCGGTCTAGGACGGTCTACGTGCGGTCTGGGACCGGTCTATGTGCGGTCTAGGACGGTCTACGTGCGGTCTGGGATGCTGTGCTGTATCTCTGGGTCAGTGAGTCGCTGGTTCGAGCCCCAGCAACCTGTAAAGATAACAGCAGCAGTGCTATACATTAATTATTGATGATATTAATTTCGTTGTGGGCAACAAAGGTGGTACATCAGCACGGCAACGCATGTATTTATGAGTCATCACTACACATGTGTGATGAGTGTCACCCATGAGGTCTGGGTGGTCTATGGGGTCTAGTAGTAAAACGTGTGTCGATCTGTATTAATACAGACGAATCTGTGTGGGCAACGAAGGCGGTGCATCAGCACGGCAACGGGTGATGGGTGACCCATGTAGTCCATGAGGTCCATGTGGTCTGGGTGACTATGTGGTCTATGAGGTCTAGTATTAATACATGTATTGATCTGTATTAATACATGTATTGATCTGTATTAATACAGGGGAGTCTAGTCGCAACACTTAATGCTATGTACACTCACTGTACATGTACTGTCTATAGCTATAGCAACTAATACAGTATAGGCGTCCTGTGTAGTGTTAAATAATGTATAGGATATATAATACTGGTATATCCTGCTGGTATATCCTGCTGGTATATATCCTGCTGGTATATATCCTGCTGGTATATATCCTGCTGGTATATATCCTGCTGGTATATATCCTGCTGGTATATATCCTGCTGGTATATATCCTGCTGGTATATATCCTGCTGGTATATATCCTGCTGGTATATCCTGCTGGTATATCCTGCTGGTATATATCCTGCTGGTATATATCCTGCTGGTATATCCTGCTGGTATATCCTGCTGGTATATCCTGCTGGTATATCCTGCTGGTATATATCCTGTTGGTATATCCTATTTAATTACAGGATTTAAACATTCATCCTACACAGCAATTCAAACAATATACAGGAATGCCTCCTGTATATTGTGTATCATTTTAAACAATATACAGGAACACCTGTATATTGTGTATCATTTTAAACAATATACAGGAATGTCTCCTGTATATTGTGTATAATTTTAAACAATATACAGGAATATCCATGACAGCCCTTGTATTTTTTTTCCAGTCGTAGTCCGCTGTGTTGAGTTCTGTGTTATTTTGTATGAAGTTGTTATTTATATGCTGGTATTGTGTGGCAGGCTGCTTGTATTTATTTGTGTACTGCTTGTATATAATACAGAGCCTCCTCCTGTGTACATAGTTCCTCTTATTGCTTACTATTATGTGTTAATTAATATACAGCAGCATACAGTTCATACATGTGAATGTGTTATACAAATGAAACTGGTTTACTATTTTAAATAAATTTATTATTATTATTAATTTTTTATTATAATATTATTTAATCAGAATTTTTCTTGAAATTTGTTTATTTAAAAAAACATTTTTTAATAAAAATGAATTTTACAAAATTCACGCGACGTGTTCATTGCTTTTAAATTTTTAAACAAATTATAAACGTTGAAATTCAGTGATTTATTAGGTATTATTATGTATTAATACATGTATTAACGGTCTGTATTAATACATGTATTAATAATCTGTATTAATACGTGTATTAATTGTCTGTATTAATACATGTAATAATGCATGTATTACGGTCTGTATTAATACGTGTATTAACGGTCTGTATTAATACGTTTATTAATGGTCTGTATTAATACATGTAATAATAGTCTATTAATACATGTATTAATGGTCTTTATTAGTACGTGTATTAATGGTATGTATTAATACATGTATTAACGGGCTGTGTTAATACATGTATTAACGGGCTGTGTTAATACATGTATTAATGGTCTGTATTAATACGTGTATTAACGGTCTGTATTGATACATGAATTAATGGTCTGTATTAATACGTGTATTAATGGTCTATTAATACGTGCATTAATGGTCTGTATTAATATGTGTATTAATGGTCTGTATTAATACATGTATTAACGGGCTGTGTTAATACATGTATTAACGGGCTGTGTTAATACATGTATTAATGGTCTGTATTAATACATGTATTAACGGGCTGTGTTAATACATGTATTAATGGTCTGTATTAGTACGTGTATTAATGGTCTGTATTAATACATGTATTAATGGTCTGTATTAATACATGTATTAACAGTCTGTATTAATACGTGTATTAATGGTCTATAATACATGTATTAATGGTCTGTATTGATACATGTATTAATGGTCTGTATTAATACATGTATTAATGGTCTGTATTAATACATGTATTAATGGTCTGTATTAATACATGTATTAACAGTCTGTATTAATACGTGTATTAATGTATTGATACATGTATTAATGGTCTGTATTAATACATGTATTAATGGTCTGTATTAATACATGTATTAATGGTCTGTATTAATACATGTATTAATGGTCTGTATTAATACATGCATTACTCTTCTGTATTAATACATGTATTAATGGTCTGTATTAATACGTGTATTAACGGTCTGTATTAATACATGTATCAATGATCTGTATTAATACAGACGAGTTTGTATATATGGCGCACCGCTGCTTAGGCTTCTTATGTCTGTGTACTCTGCTGTGTGGCGTGTGTGTGTGCTCTGCTGTGTGGCGTGTGTGTGTACTCTGCTGTGTGGCGTGTGTGTGTACTCTGCTGTGTGGTGTGTGTGTGTACTCTGCTGTG